GGAAAAAAAGGAACAAACTAAAGCCAAAATCTGAGAAAAATGTACTCAAACTTAAGTGAAAATTATTTTAAATTATGCTTAAAGACGATCTTAAGTTGGGTGTGATGACGTAGTCCCTCACCGTTTGTCCCTTGTTTATGAAAGACATGTCCCCATACTTCCAGATAATACTAAACTGAAGGATAATATTAAAATGGATCTTAAATTGTGTGTGAAGATTTGGGCTGAATTCATTTGTCTTAGCGTAGGTTCTCGTGGCTGGCTTTAATATACATTATTCGTATTTGGATTTCGTAGAAACCGGATCATTTTTTATGATGTTCTTAATCGAAATATTCGATTCTAATGTAAGATCAGCTGATCGACCATATTACGTCTTCTTTCACCTTTTTTTGGGACTGGCTCCAATTTCCGTGGGTTTGGAATTGATTCAAATAGGTTCTGACGCACGTACGGTGATCGCCTACAGCACAGCGATATCTTATTTGTGGATGGAATAGTCCAAGCCGAAACACGTCTCAAGATGTCATGTAGTATGGTGAATTTTACCGACGTTTCAGAGGTGCTTGCTGCCTCCATCTTCAGATCTCCTTGGCAGCAAGTACGCGATGTCTTGAGAGTGGTCTGCTCTTCGGCGAACGATGTAGAATTAATTAGTCCTGTTAAATAGATGCCAGGCCTCGTAAGGCAACGGCGTGGACTGAGGAGATCCAGGTTATTCATTTCGAGTGCCACAAAGAGATTTTGTGGCAGTGAGACAGGTGTGTGGATTGTTTTGGCATAATAACGACGCCGTTCGCCGGAAATACCCGCGTAACGAGAGAGACGCTGCAGGTCTTCATAGTAGGTGAGTGCGGCCAGGAATAGCTCGGACAAAAAGAGACCTGCCGCGTCTTAAATATGGAGCCAAGTGAAGACACAAAGACCGCCGACCGAACGAGTCCCGTCGTGCGGTCCCACCGGGATTTTTAACCTCTCTTGACCTGTAGTTCAGTTTCCTTAACCTCGCAGCAAAAGGAATGTGCCTGAAGTGCTTCACACTTGTTACTGTCTTGCTGTTTGTCGTCGTGAATAAGAGTCTTGAGCTGCTGGTGTATTGTTTTCCGACGTCTACAATGGTGGAACTGTTGTTTTCTCGTTTGTAATGTTCCGAAGGACAAATCGCGGGGAAGTTTTAGTCAGTAAAGTGACTGGTCACCAACTGGGACGCCTGGTTTATGTTACCCTCGTGTATATTCTGAATTTTACTCTCCAGTAGTTTGTCCGGAATGACTGTCACTTCACTTACAACCCGTGTGGTGTTAAAGTTTCGTCCTGACTGCTCGCTCATGGTCCCCGATTTGTCGCATTACTCCGGTTCGGGCTCGTGAAACCGTCCACATACACGATGGCACACAAGACGTCAGTGAATACGGGATTTCTTTTCTCCGGGGGGGGGAAGGCGACGAGCGAGAAGCTAATGGTTTACACCCGATTACCTTCCAAGGTTTGAGATACCTGAAGCTTGACCTGTACTCCACGTTTTACGACTTCATGATTAATCAACGCCTGATGATGGAGGCAGCAGGCACCTCTGAAACGTTGGTAAATTTCTACCAGACTGTATAACCCAGATGACGGACCTCTGCCTCCTTTACATTTATTTGCTTTCTTTTAAGTTTGTGCGTTTGCTTCGCCAGTTCAGTTTAAATCTCAGACGCCAAAAATATATCTGGCCTGTAATTCAAGGCCAGATGTCTCGCTGAAGAAAGTTTTAAACGCGAGAAGGAAGCAGAAGTGTTGTTCTGCTGTCAGAGGGCGCCGAGCTGCTTCGTCTTGCCTCAACTTGAGATTCATGTACGCGTCATTTGACCCAAGCTACAAGTCAAGTTTATTCGCGATTCGCTTCAATTCCCGAAACCTTTGTGGCAAAATCTGTCTTGTTTTATTTACACTTCAATATTGATTGTACACATTATGCTTAACAAAAAAACTAGGTCGAAAGTTGCCAACAACAGTCATGTAGATCTCTTCCAATATTTCTAGAAAGGTCTGTCATATATAAATACTACTAATATAATGGAGTGTCTTGGAAATCGACGTGAAAAATGATCGATTTGGACGGGATCGACCAAGAGACGTGACCTCAGAAAGTGTGGGTTCTTCTTCTTGTTGGTTGATGAAGAGCTTTGGAAATAGTATAATTTGGTTTTGAGGACTTTTTTTTTCCCATGAAGAAGTTCAGCTGTTAGTCCTGCGTCCTTTATCTTTATATACTTTCGTCGTTGGCAAATGGTAATAAAAAAGAATCTTCCAGTATAAAACGAAAGCAATATTCGTGTAATAATTTAATTTGTAACCGCAGAATTTTACATTTCGCTCTATTCCTTTACCGCGTTTTACGAAAAAAAAGAGTGTATTTTCAGTAATCGTTTCTAGGCATGCGCAAATTCCGTTAATAATATAATATTATAATCTTTTTAACCCTTAATTAGATTCATTACTCGCGGCCTAGGTAACTCAAGGCAGAAGGGGAAATCAACCCTACTCTCATAATACTGTTAGCTCCACGCGGAATTTGGTTCAGTCCGGTTTCCTCTCTCCCCTCCCATTCTTGGTGGCTGAACACCATTTAATTCAGTGCGCATAACCACATCTTAATCTGTTCTCGCTGGACGCAGAAGGTAGATCAGCACGTGAAAGGTTTTCGTAATCTGTTCGGCTGGAAAGAGAGAGGTTTGTGATGTAAATGTTTAATAGAAGAGAACTGAGTCTGTCATATATAAATACTACTAATATAATGGAGTGTCTTGGAAATCGACGTGAAAAATGATCGATTTGGACGGGATCGACCAAGAGACGTGACCTCAGAAAGTGTGGGTTCTTCTTCTTGTTGGTTGATGAAGAGCTTTGGAAATAGTATAATTTGGTTTTGAGGACTTTTTTTTTCCCATGAAGAAGTTCAGCTGTTAGTCCTGCGTCCTTTATCTTTATATACTTTCGTCGTTGGCAAATGGTAATAAAAAAGAATCTTCCAGTATAAAACGAAAGCAATATTCGTGTAATAATTTAATTTGTAACCGCAGAATTTTACATTTCGCTCTATTCCTTTACCGCGTTTTACGAAAAAAAAGAGTGTATTTTCAGTAATCGTTTCTAGGCATGCGCAAATTCCGTTAATAATATAATATTATAATCTTTTTAACCCTTAATTAGATTCATTACTCGCGGCCTAGGTAACTCAAGGCAGAAGGGGAAATCAACCCTACTCTCATAATACTGTTAGCTCCACGCGGAATTTGGTTCAGTCCGGTTTCCTCTCTCCCCTCCCATTCTTGGTGGCTGAACACCATTTAATTCAGTGCGCATAACCACATCTTAATCTGTTCTCGCTGGACGCAGAAGGTAGATCAGCACGTGAAAGGTTTTCGTAATCTGTTCGGCTGGAAAGAGAGAGGTTTGTGATGTAAATGTTTAATAGAAGAGAACTGAGTACGTACAGTCCGCAGACCAGGATAAAATCCCTGCTAGGAATTTGTTAAACGCGCATGCGCAAGATTTCGCGGTGAGTGACGACCCATCCTAAATGCATTCGTTCCACAACCACTGAACGAACAACAGACAACAATCTTTCACGTGTTCTAATGGGTACAGCTTTAAGATTACCTCACAGCGGCACAGCGATTTAATCTTGAATATTATCGCAACACCCACAGAACACATTAGAGGTGCGCTCACTACACGCTACTCGTAACTGCTTGATGTTTTCAGTCTGTGTGTAGTAGAGTAAAACTGTGACGTATCACACTTCCCACCAATAGGAGCCCTCTAATCCAGCTGATAAGTAACATTCCCCTCGCGCCGACCAGAAACGACTTCCCTCAGCAGGGTTTTTCTCGTCATCTGTGGACAGTACATTGAATGTGTGTGATTGTTGTCTGTGACCACGTGGGGAATGTTGTCTTGGCTCGCGAGGTGATGCCGGAAATAGCCAGCCCGCACAGTTCCCTTCATTACGACGAATCGCGCCTGTTTTGGGCAGCGGAGCACGACTGCACGCTGTAAATTGGGACTGTCATCAGCCATGCTTCATTAAGGAACGTCCTACCCGCGAAAGAATCGTGCTTTCGATTTTGGACTTAATTGAAAAAGAATTAACATAACATTGTATACGTGTGTGTTTAATTATAGGATTCGACCCAAAAATTTTCTTGAAAATGTGTACTTTGACAGATAACATGTTTATTACCGTCAGCAGAATATATTTTTTATTAATCTTACGACTTAACATATTAAACTTTTTTGCACGAAAGTGTTCACTTGTTTCAGCTAAAGAACCGTGTGACAGTTTTTTAAGACATTTGTTATGCGTGTTACGTCACTGGAGGCTGCCCAAAATCCGTTTTTTGAGCAGTCGGTTAATAACGTGACAACGCGGCAAATTTTTGAGGTGGGAGCGACACCAGTGTCACGTAATGTGTCTTGAAGCGATGTATGGTAATAGATAATTGAAAAATATGTCGCATTGCTTTATTAAGTTGGCTTTATTGAACAGGAAACAGCTCAGCAAAGATTACCCTTGGCTTTCAGCTTCACTGCATTGACTGTTGAATCACTGGAGCTAGGCATGAGATAACCAAAAAATATTAAAAACATTCTGTGACATAATTCTTTCATGTTCGTCAGTTTCATATGATAAACAAATTTAAATTTTCTGTAAACAATTACAGATGCATTGGCAAAGTATTGTTACACGTAACAATTTTTTACATTAGGTACATACACGAGCTAGCTGATGGACATGCAGACTTGATACTTCTCAGTTGGTACTTGGAAATACATTCGCTGTGCCTTGTAAAAAATTTAGCATATGAGAGAAATAATGTAAAAGAGAAGGATGCATCAAGAGGAGCTATTTACGTCATGGTATACCCAGCTTTGCAGGATATTTCTGTCACGTTGCCAGCCACATGTTCACTGCTTCTGTTATGTTTAACTCAGTATCTTTTCTCTCATTGTAGACAACAAGTAAAGACTTGGAGCAGGACCTCGAGGAAATTTGGGACGAGAGACTGCTACGACAATTGGTAAGAGCAAACGCTCATCAGGAGAGCAAAAGCATTGTTTTCTGTAATTACAATTAAGTCACATAGCATAAGGAGAAATGGTAAGTTAATTAATTAATCAGGTAATGAAAACTAATGTTGTGCTGTGAATACGTAGCCTATCACAATGTTCTCTTTAATATTCCTGTCTGTTATATGTTGTTAATGATAATTTCAGAAAGTTGAAAGCTTAAAAATAAAAATGGATGCCGTATTTTTTGTTTGAAAAATTTCGTGGAAATGGACCACACGCTATAATATTTACATTAATTTTTATTGTGATTCGTTTCAGCTCATATGACTTCCTTAAATTGTAAACTTTTTTTTTTTGAATTTGTACGTTTGTTTCTGCCACCGGGTATTTTACACTGCCACCGGGTATAAACCCATTTGCAGTCAATAATAAATAATAATAATAATATATTTTAACATATTTAGACATGCATATAAATTTGTTCAGGTTTATTGATTTTTAAAAGATTTATGTAAACATTTAGGCCTGACGTTTAAGGTTGGAGCGACAGTTTTTCTAAATTACGGGTAGTATTTACTTTAAAAATCATTATGTTAATTGGAGAAGTTTATAATTGTTCTCCAATCAAGTTTGACGAATCAGAAAATTTAAATTTTATTGTTTAAAATCCATGCATAAATTTATGAAGAAGATGAAAGAGGCACATATGTAATACTTGGACATATGCGTCTGTGAAAGAATGAATTTCATTTTTTGGTTCAAGTTGTAGTGAAGTAAAAATTTTTGGGAAATCCTGAAATTAAACTACTGTACAACTCATTGACATAATGGTCCAGAATCCTGACTGAACAATATAATAGATCTTTGAATTAATTACATTTATTGTACATGGTAAAATTAGGTGTTGGACAAATAGACCATAGCTTAAAGCAAAGCATTTTAAAATATTTAAGAAATTGAATGCAGTTTATTATACAGACTGCCAGTTAAAGAATTATAAATCTCTACTGAGTTCTTATGTAAGTTACGTCTTTCTTGCTGTTATTTTTTGTTAGTGTAACATTAAATCATGGTGAGTTATGTGAGTTGTGCAATACAGAAATAAATGTGAGTTAATAGTACCCGATGTTTCAGCTGGACAAGTGCTCTGATTACGAAGGGAGACGCCAAATTAGAGCCAGGTTGCGAGTTGTTATGGCAGAACAGAAAGGTGTGTAGGTCCTGACATGTTTTGTACTGTCATATTTATAGCAGTAAATTGAGTTGCGAAATATGGGTACATAGTACCAAATAGTTTATAATCAAGTTTTTTGAAATTCTAATTTTATTAACTCCATATTTATGAAATTCTGTCCATGCTGAGCGACATGTTTATTGATGCAGCTTGTGCTGGTGTAGTAGCTGCCGCCTTGGCCGATGAGGAAGTTGCAAGTGAACAAGAGCAGGGGGAAACTGGTGATGTGATTCACCGCAGCGTAGCAGAGGGTGAGTCTCTGCTCCTACCTTTGCTAGTGGAACAGTTACGCTCTTCACTATTGCTTGAAAAAAATTGTACAGGTTGTGCTCCTCAAGCTGTCCCTCTATCACACTCTCATTCTGCCCAAATTTCATCTGAGGAGGGACAGCTGAGGACAGTCGAAGATTCAGGTACCGAATCTGGTGACAATCTCAGACTTCTGGCCGTTGGGCTTCGGGATTCAATCGAACTTCACCGTCAGCAAAGCCTCGATATATCTACACAGAAGACAAACTCCACTTCTGGATCAACAGAACCTTTTGGACCAAATCTTTTACAAGAGGTTCAGACTGCTCTGTCACGTCTGGAGGCATCACTGCAGCTGGGTAGTATTGGAGAGGGGCAAGGAGAAGTGCTGGACCCTGCGAGAAGAGAAGCGCTCTTGCAACTCGTGTCCCGGCTTCAGGCGTCGCTCTGTCTGCCTGCTCCACCAGACAAAGAAAATTTAAAGACTAATAGTCCTAAAGCAATGCTTCATTCTCAGAAACAAACACAGAAATTTCAGAACAAGAGAATGTTGCGCCAAAACAGGCATACAGTTGCGGTAACAAGTGAGGAGTTGGCTGATGCAAGAAGACTGGTTGAAGAAAATTCAGCAAAGGACAAATTAATCTCAAATTTGGGTGCTTCTGGAACTGTGGAGACTGCACAGGAATTGGTGCAAAAGAGTTCTGCAGGAGACTTAGCTTTATCAGAAAATACAACAGTAATGTCATCTATCGGGTCCCCTGCGATGCTTGCATTTCACCCTGTCCACTTTGCCCCAAGACATTCTCTGCCAGGTCCCATCTTTAACGGAAATGCCTCCGCAAAACCATTCTTTTACCTTTCTCAGGTGCGAAAGGCTGGTGCCTCAGTCAATCAGTCTCAGACTGAAAATCAAAGGAGCAGTTGTGGTGATACAGACACTAATGCAGATAATACTGTTATCTCAGATTTTAACGGAATTCATAGACCTTTAGAGCAGTCAGCATCTTTAGGTAACCTGTGTAATGTGAGTAATACTACAATGCCAGAAGATAGTAATCCTGATGGAAAAGCTGATTTTTCCGTTTTAGGTAATGAGGATGATCCTCGTTGCACTTTGCAGAAGGATGGTGATTATAATCAGGTTCATCCATATTCAGACAAGAAAGTCAGTATGCAGCCAATAACTGCAGTTCACAGAGAATACAAACCAGGAAAACTTGGGCAAGAAGTGGTAAGACCAATCCAAAAGTCTGTTTCATTAGATAACTCAAGTTCAGTTACACAGAGTGTTATTTCATTGGCTGAGCAAGCCATTCAGAAAGCTCCAGTACATTCTTCATCGTCTAGTAGCACTGCCAGTTCCGAAGCTTCCACTCCTTTGAGATCAGACAGTGGCACGTCAGTTCCAGAGAAGACTGTCCATAAACCTGTATCTAAGGCTTCATCCCTGGATAGCAGTTCAAGTTCCAAAAGATCAACTCCGCAAAGATCCAATGGTGGAACTTTGATAGGTGAAAGAGTCGCTCATAAGTCTGTACCTCAAGCTTCAGCTCCTAGAAGATCAAATAGTGGACCTTCTGTTGCGGAG